AGGCAATGTGAATTGCGGAGATCGGACACGTCGACTCTCCGAATTGCGAAGCTGGTGCGCGCAGGAGTGCGAATTGTGCAGAAGGTCAACCTAAGGCTCGGAAAGGTCCTATAGGAATCCATTTTGGGCTTCCTCATGTCGGTTTCATCCTTCTAAGTGCTAGAAGTCGATACCACACACGCGAAACATCCAAAAGAGGACGGAAATAGGTCGAACTAAAACGAGGCGGGCACCACTTCTAAGGTTCTAAGATAGTCGCAGGAAGACCCCTAAGGCTAGATCCTAACTCCTACGAGGAATACTAGACCTCACGAAAATTGAGGTCAACACCCCCCTCCCTTTGAGGACCGATCGATCCTCCATAACCCCCGGGGGAAAATTGATACTGCCACTTAGGAGCCCAGGGGACTTGTGCCTAGGCACCTAGGGGTCTGGCGCCTAGGTGGGTACCTAGGCGCCAGCCCTAAATAAACTCCTTTTTCTTCAAGTCTCCTCCACATTTCCTCACTTCCATTACATGTTGTACCTGCAAGGAAAACATAAAAATACTTTTTTTTAAAGTGCAATCTCATTCATAAAAATATGTAAATCATAAATAAATATTAACATACTTATCTACACATGAAGGTGCACCACCACGTAGATTCTCCCGAGCCAAATTTTGAACAAGTAAATATCTCATATGCTTATCAATTATGACAAGTTAAGCCTCAGCGTGGTTGAGGATTTGCAAGAGTTTGGTTGATTCTTATTATCTTTCAAGTTTTCCCTCTGACTATTGAAGTTTTGGAGAACTGACAACTTTTGTTTCATTCCAATAACAACTTCAACCTAGCATATCGTCTCTTCATGCGAAACACTAGGGGTGAGGGCTGAAATTGTAACTGTCTATGATGCTATCAGTTGATTGTTACTAACCATGCACTGAAATTTTAAATTCTGCATCTTCTGATCTGTGTGACCTTTGTATGTCTCAACAATAAGTTCTCCATCTTCTAGGAGAGTGGGAATCATAATCTCATCAAAAGTCACATGTTCCTTTGAATCACGTGGAGGAAAAACATTTAATGTATACATGAAGAAGAGAGTTCCCTGGGGAAAACATCATCGGATAAAATTCTCGTTCGAACTGTTTTTCAATGTCTGCAATGTCCTTATTTGGGTTTTAACAATGCCCTGCTCCGTGAAATGGATCACTCCTCTGGTTGTGCATTCTGCTTCCACATGTCCGAATCCGTGACACTTGCAACATTTTATGGGTGTGGCAGACTTGTGGATTGGCTTCGATGGAAAGTAGCACGGGGGAGGGGGGAGGGGGGAGGCTTGGTGATACAGTCTCTCCTCTTAGGAAGCTAGGCTGCAACTTTTGATGGTAGTGATTTCATAAACTGACGACGTGTTTGCTACTTCATCTTAATATTTTCTAATTTTTTCCCTTCGAGCTTCCAGATCACAGTCGAGGGTAACGCCCCACTGGATTTTCTCTTCAATATCCATAACCCTGTGTCAGAGACGACAAAGTTCTTGTTGTATCTCTTCCCGGGAATGCTCGGGCATATTCCTTCTTGGCAGCATAGTTGATGGTTTTGGGATCTGTAGAAGGAAAGAAAGAAGGGATAAAGAAAACAGAAAAAAATATACGAAAGAAAGAACAAAAAAATTTGGTGTGATTGATTGGGTAGGGGCAGATGCTAGAAATCCTAGAATGAGACTAGGGTTGGGCTAGCTCTGATACTAAATGATATCGAAATTAACCCAAACCACGATAGAAGACAATTTTATTGTTGACTTGAAAAAAATATTATAATGAAGACTCGAAATCATGAAAGATAACACACAAAGCAAAAGCAAAAAGCAAAGGATTACAATTAATGATTAACAAAGAAGACATAACCGCTTGATGAGGAGGGAGCCCAGCGAGGGAAGGCTGAATTGGCGGCTGCGGTGAAGGCCGGAGAGGTAGGGCTGCTATGGAAAAAGTAGGACAACAGGTTGGTGATTGTAACGACGTCAAACCGCAGCTGGAGAGGAGCTGGAACGTGTTGAATGCTGCATTGGCAGCTGCGATGAAGGTCGAAGAGGTGGCGCTGTTGTGGAAGAAGTAGGACGACAGGTTGGCGATAGTAACAACGTCGAACCACAGCTGGAGAGAAGCAGGGAGCAATGAAAGGGGCAACCGGAATGTGCGGTCTGTAGGGAAGCTGCAGGAGGTGACCGAGCTAAAAGGAGGGTAGCAAGTGGCTGGAGCAGTGGAAGGGGGGTTGCGATGGCTGAATTCTAAAATGGCAACAGAGAACGAAAGTATGGTAAGATAAAATGCCTCGACAAGGTCGAGATACAACCAAAGCACCACTCGGACCCTTAGAGACAATCACCACCTCGGATGAGAGAATCCGGAGCGCTACTTCGACGTCGGATACAACCCTCGAAAGTAAAATACCAGGACTAAAACCTGAATTCAGATATCAAAACAAGGCTCATAACTCTAAGCACATCATCTATTTAGAATGAGGCTAGGACTTTATTTTAGATAATACTTTAAATAAGAAAGAAGAATCAAATCAGGACTTCAGATTTAGTAAGAAAATAGAGAAAAAATCAGATTTAGGGAAGGGTAAATAAAGTAATCAAAATTCAGATTTTAGAAATGATTTAACATAGGAAAGGTTTTAAAAAAAGAAAGAAAAATAAAATATAATCAGGATTTCAGATTTTAGGAAAGGATTTCATATTTTAAGAAAGGAAAAGGAGGAAAGAGTAGGGA